TAATAATTTGAGTTGATAAATTTTTTAAAGAAATTATTTCGAAAACGAAAACTAATAATATATAACTGTTTAGATATTATTTATTGGATCCTCCCCTGGGAGTGATAAATTATTTGGATAATAACCTTGGAGCCTAATCTCATTTTAAATACACAGAAATGGAAGAAAAATTTCAAATCTCCAAGTTGAAATCAGTTGTGGCTTGTTCTTCTAGTTTTGAATGTGTAGTATTGTCGTTGTTTTAAGAATCATAGTATATGTACATATTTTTTTCACAAAAATTGTTTCACGGATAACACATGGCAAAACATCGTTGAAATATGAAAAAAAAAAAAAAAGGAAAGACGACTGAGGTTTTGCCACGACATCACCCGGCAAGAAACCTGTGAAGCTTTCCATGTAATTAGGGAATAATCCTTATTTTAAATTATAATTTCATTACATTTAGAAATCAAAGTCATATTTTAATTTTAACTGCTCATTTCGTATGACCTACAATTATTACCAATTTATTTATTATTCAATTCTATCAATTTATAGTTTCGACAACTTATAATTTTTCTTAAACAAACATTAAGCGACCCAATATATATTTTGAAAGTAATTCTTAACTAAAAAATAAATGTATCTAATATGTTTAAAAGTAAAAAGGTTATTTTAAGTTTGACTTATTTTTAAGTTTAGTCAAACATGCCCTTAGTTCCTGGTATTTATTAAAATCTAAGTTACAGTCAACAATCAATTTCAACTATATATTTTATGGTTTTCACAAATTTTCAACTACACATTTTATCAAAATCTATTAAAAAACTGATTTTCATCACTACTGAACATGAGTTGAGATCTGCTGTTCAATTTTGGATGTCCTCTGATTAATTAATTGAATGAACAACAAATTAGACAGCAAAAATTAAACAACAAATCTAAACCAGCAAACGGGACTTAACATTTGATTATTTTATAATATTTTCTTTTTTAGGGTGTGGGCCTGTTGTGGCTTCCCACTCTCAAATAGGGATGGCAAAAAAGCTCGGTGGCTCGGACGGCTCGGGCCTAGCCTCATGTTGAGGAGTCGGCCCGAGCCGGGCCGGCCCGTAAAAAAAAAAAAAAAAAAAAAAAAACTTGCTCAACACTTTTTATTTT